ATCAATTAAAATGAACTTATAAATAGTAGACGTGACTACACGGAACTAACCGAATTATTTGAAAGAAGAGGAACATAAAAAGTGTTAGTTTGTAATAAATTTTCACAATATTTCAGAGATTGTGTGGAATAAGATATAAATAAACTATCTCTAAAAAAATAGAAAATTATAGATTTTCTATGGTTTTTCTCAGATCAATTTTACAACAATAATTTATTCTAAAAAAAACTTGACTAGATAAATCAAAAGTTGAAAAAGTTTGAATTCTCATACTGATTATAAAATCTATCTATTTTTCCAATAAACATTGTTATTTAAACCAAATACGATATAAGTCAAACAGATAATAAAAAAATAATACCCATCACTTTGGTATATGGAATTCCATTAATCTCGATTTACGTTGTTTTTAATTTAATCTTACAATATGCAACTAGCAACTACGTAAGATTCATGAATTAACATAAAATATACATTTTTTAAGACAAAATAAATATGTAATGAATGCATGAATTAAGTATGTATTCGGTTGGCTAATTTCGGTTTTCATAAGTAAATAACGTTATGTTCTTATTGGAAGGACATCTGTCAATGTTATGATGTCCTTTGAAAGATGTCACTTTCAGCTTCCTTTAGAAATCAGTTGCATCAGAAATCAATTGGAATCATTTTTTACAGTAGTGCAAATATAAAAAGAAGAAGATATTATAGTCACCTATATAAGTGAATCTATTTAATGATAGCTGGGATTTACAAAGCAAACGTGTTGACCCAGAACAGAAGATAACTAAAGAAGTAAAAAAAAACGTGATGACTAAAAAAATAAGGTAACTGAAGATAAAACCAATAGTTAATTCATAATGAATGTGTAATTATCATAATCTACAAATACTAGTCACTAATATGAGTCAATCTATTAATTGATAGCTTGGATATGCAAAGTAAACATGATGACTAAAGAAATAAGGTAAATGAAGATAAGGCCAATATTTAATGCAAAATGAATGTAGTCATGACTAATGAACATAATCTGCATATACTACGTTAATAGTCACTGATATGAGTAAATCTATTCAATGACAGCTTCGATTTGAAGAAAAAACGTGATGACTAAAGAAATAAGGTAACTGAAGATAAAACCAATACTGAATCCATATTGAATGTACATATGGGTAATTATCATAATTTACAAATACTAGGATAGAAGTTACTAATATGAGTCAATCTATTTACTGATAGCTTGGATTTGCAAAGTAAACATGATGACTAAAGAAATAAGGTAAATGAAGATAAGGCCAATATTTAATGCAAAATGAATGTATTAATGACTAACGAACATAATCTGCATATACTAGGTTAATAGTCACCTATATGAAGAATGTATTTAATGACAGCTTAATCCATAAAGAATATACACATGAGTAATTATCTTAGTCTACAAATACTTTGCAAAGTAAACATGATGATTAAAGAAATAAGGTAATGACTAATTGTCATGAACTGTATGTGAAGTGTGAAGTAGTCACAGATATATGTTGATCTATTTATCGTTAGCATGAATTTGTAAGAGTAAAGTAAGTCTACTTAATAAGGCAATAATTTTCAAACACTCTGCCATAATTAAATTATTTTCTAGTGAAGTCCAAAGCATAATACGTGCCGCCGAACTATATCTTCAAGTATGCTTTGGAACGAAAAAAGGTTGAAAACCCAAGTACTGATGTATTGAATATATTATCAAAAGATGATGTATACCAAAAGAATTATATAAGTTTATTTTGTACAAAAATCAATATTTTTTTTACTTTTATTATTCATTCACAACCTGCCAACATCTCTGGCTATAAGTTGAATGTTTATTAATCAATATAAAGCAAGAAACTTTTAAAATTTTCCTATAAAACTTTAGTTGGTTACATCCCCACGCATTTTATGGAGTCTCTAATACATTCATTATATAATACACATTGACATAGTTGGCTAATTATTTGTCACATATCAATTATGTCATTGTACACACTAATTATATACAGCAATACCTCGTATAGTGCGGTTTCGATCAGTCCTAGTCTGGTTTTGAAATTTTCAACACAAACTAAATTTTAATTGACAAAATACAAATAAATTAAAAAAAAAATACAGAATTATTTTTGTTTATACATAATTGTATGAAACAGTTATTGTAAAAACAAATAACTAGAAAATTGACAGCATTTACGAACGATTAGCATTCAATGGATAAATCTAAGCAAATTTTGTACATTTGTCCAAAAACAATCAAATAGACATATTTGTATTATAGTGTAGTATATTATAAATTAAGCACATCCAATAATTTTAGTAATTCCAATTTTTGTAAGTTTTATTATTAATAAATTAATATTTTTTCTTATTAAAATCACAATTTTATCCATGATACATAAAAAGCGTTAACTCATATATAAATATGCACTACCAATAAGCAATACATCTGAGAAATAAATTTTATTCACAACAAATGCAGTACACATTTACTAGTTGTCTAAATTATAAACTAATATTTCTTCGCATGAATTCAATGTTAATATTAATTATTTAAAAATTATGAATGCATAATTAACATATGTAAATTAACTGAAACCGGACTAATCGAGAAACTAAATACATCTAAGAAGATATCGCACAAAAAAATACGCACTATTACGAATGTTGTAAAATGTGATACTAAAGATAAATATGATATATTTTAATGTGTTAATAACTATTCATTATATTTTTTGTATATTCAAACTAATACAGTTGTAGCTTGACAGAAATAAATTTATATTCATATAATTTAATTATAAAATTCATAGTGAATAACACTTTTTATTAATAGATGTTTATTGTTTGATTTTTGATTTTTGAAGGTAAAAATAAATTTATAACTCATTGTTTTTTGAGACTTTCACTTTTATAGTTATAGGAATCGATCGATATGATAGGAATATAGTAAATATAATGCAAGTCAATATAAAAATAGGAAAAAATAATACAAATTAAATCATATGTATATGAATTCAATTGAAGACATTGGCTTCTGCCCAATTTTACTAATTAAAATCTCAAATTGTAAAATACCAACATCAGATTAGTATCTATTGACCGGTTTATAGAAATTCAATATAGACGATTTATCTTTATTGTTATGTCTTCCATTTCTTAAGAAACTTATTACAACACATCAATTGAGACGATGAACTACGTGAAACAACTTTTTTCTAGCAAAATAATTGCCTAGCTTGATATTTCCAGTTCTTAAGTTTTTTTTTTATAAAATTCCAATGGAATTTCAATCTGCTAAAGACTCTTTTTAATAAACTTAATTAAAAACTTGATAATCAATAGGTTCATATTTTAAAGGTATTTTGTATAAAACTAACTAATTTAGTATCTTCTGAATAAACATGATTACAGAAATACCTCGCATAGTGCGAATAATCGGTTCCGTCAATGAAATTTTCAAACCAGTACGAAGGTATTGCCTAATTTATATTTTACCATAGTACAAAAAAAATAAATCCAAATGCAACTTTATATAGTTTGAGACATTCATAAACAACAAATCACAATGGTATAATTATAAATCAATAGATCACGATATAATAGCCCATTGTGTACATGTTTTCAATTACCCAATAAATTTGATTGAAATCTTGCAATGATTGTGATGTTAGATTTGCTGAATAAACAATTGAAATTCTTAAATTCACATTACTTTTATGTAACTTTATATTTATTTAAAACGGTATTGCTGACTTATTTATAGTTGTTCTCTGCTTACATAAATGTGATTTTTTTAAATTTTTTGTCTAGTTTCTAAATGAAACATTGCAAAGTCATGCATTTAAAGATAATTATTTAGTTTTTTTCTTGAATAGTAAAACTTAAGTACAATTATAGTTAAGTAATATCACAAGTTCTCTATTGTGGTGAAGTGCATGTGAAGTACAATAATAATAAACGTAATAAAAAATGCACCAAATCAATAGAATCAGGTGGTTTATTGTTCATCAAATTCATTAAGCTTCGTTTTATTTAGATTATTTCTTAACTCATTTAATGAAAATATTTACCTAATACAAAGTATGATTAGTTGAAAGAATGTTCGAACTGCTAGGATTAATTTACAGGTATCTCAAAATTATGCACATTTTTTTCTATATTTTTATATAACAATTTAATATGTATGTTTACCTGTATTATTTTGATTAGCTACAAAAGATAGTGTAAAACTCTGAATTAGACACAGTGTTCGATTAACTACAGTAAACATTGTAAAATTATAATGAAATATGTCAATTATCATTAAATTTCATTTTTTACTATCATTAATAATAATTGTTGCTAAAAATAAACTGTTTGTAAATTATTGTTTGATGTTTCGTATATTTACATCAAATTATTAATAAATATTAATTGGCTAAAAACTGTAGTTAATAGCCTTTTCCTTATATATTTATGTATACAATAAATATTTTACTTTAAATTGTTCGAAAATTTAATATAACATTGTTTTGTGACATTTTTGTGTGACTGATAATATAGGCACAATATAATTTGTTATTAATATATTTATAATAAATATATGATATTTTTGTTGTTATAATCATCATTCATCTGTACTGTAAATAATTATGAATTCCTTTGAAAGTTCAAAGAATTTAAAGCAAACTGAATTATGAGTGAACCGAATGTGGAATTTCAGTAAAACAATAAGAAACGAATGGAAGAGTACGAAGAAGAGTAGGAGGTTCTTAACACCCTTGAGCTATTTGCGTTCTAAAATTAAAGTATCAGAAAAATTTCAGGCTACTAACAGAATCGTTCCGGGTGGGCTGAATTTAAATACTTTCACGTGTGCGTTACAGATACTGGGCGTATATTGTGGTTTGGCAATAGTAAAACGTTTCTTACAAAATAAGAAATTATTGTCATTGATTTATTACAAATTCGTATTTATTATGAAATGTTGTACTTACATGTAAACGCTGTAGATTAACTTCGGCAGCCAATTGTTCGGAGCTGCCTCTAAGGAGTTGTTCCAGCAATTCGCTGGACGCCTCAGTTGGAGCGAATCCTTCTAGCTTCGATGGGCTGGACGTAGTCCTCTGATGACTGACAACTAATTTCCCGTTGTTGTCTGCATCTTGAGAGTCCACGCTCACTTTTCTTTTAGTCACTGGTTTTGTTGGGGACAATAGATTGTTTTTAATATGCGTGTCGTCCAATGAATGATTGGCATTGCCGCGACTACGAGTCACGTACTTTGGTTTGGGGTCGCCGGCACCTACGGAACTGCTGGACGACAACGAGACCATGCTGCAGGTGCCGCTTCCTGTGGACAAATCCTCCAGGAACTTCAAATCATTCGAGTATTGCGTTTTCCTTCCGGCCTCAGGCTTCTTCATTTCGGCCTCGAGCATCTGTCCGTAAGGTCCGCGGAGAGGACGCTTCGAGTATCGCCTTGGAATGTGGGGGCTGAGGATATCATTTCCCACGCTCGTCCTACTTTCGCAATCGGATACATCTGTCAACGCGATCTCAGAACGGTGATCTGGTTCGCCTTCCGACAGCGAGTCAGCCCTGATCAACAGTGACTTCTTCTCTTCTGAATTCTGGGCAGATAGGACGGGACGGTTCCAATCAGGTGTCTGGGCATCATCCTCTGGACTCAAAGACTCCTGAGGTGTAGTCCATGCGCTATCCGTCTTCTCCGGATTGCTTATTTGCAGCTCCGGTATAACGATCGGCTGTGTTGGTGGTTGTTGCTGGAACTCCGAATCCTCTATAAACTGAGATATCACTTCCCCGGTCGCCTGATAGGCGTTCGGCCACTGTGACAGGTACATGCCTTTCCTCCTGCGCGACTTATCACGCTTCTTCTCCTGTGCGTTTGTAGAGTCCTTTTCCAGGCTCACTCCTGAATTCCTGACTACACACTCCGGTGCAGGATCGGTGGACTGCGGGCAGTTTTGCTCCTTGCAACCCTGATAGATCATCTCGCAAATGCTATTCACATCTGTGATGTTGATTGTCGGCTTGATCATCGATTCGCCATCGGACTGATCGTTGCAACTAAGGGAGCGGTTGGCGGAGGCGGTAGAAGTTTTGGTGCGGGGCAGTGTCAGAGCAGCGCCGCTGATAGAATCATCCGAGAGGACGTTTTCGGATGGTCCTTGGACTCGTCGCCTGACATACTTTTTGTCGTGAGTCGAATAATCTACTTGCGAGAATGAGGCACTCCGGTGTGGCACATTTCGCTTTCCGTTTTCCTCTTGATCGATGGCCACCGACGTTGCTGATGTTGATGAGGGCGTCGTTGTTGTGGTCGCCGTGTTCGTCGAGGCCGCAGCCGCAGTAGTAATTTCGGGGGAGTGTGGATTTCTTGGCGGCATGAACCTGGTGCGGGGCGGTGGCACTGGTCGGTCCCTCTTCAAGCGATCTGTGAGCTCCTTCAGGCGCAGCTCGTTATCCCGCTTGTCACGTTCCCTGGTCTTGGTGGTGGTGCCGCGGTTACCGCCGAAGCGGAATCTAGGAAGACGGTCCAGGTTGTTCGCAAGGTCAGCAGCAGCGCCGGCGTCGCCGTCTCCGCCGCACTCGCAAAGACGATCGTAAACGTGCGAACGGACGAATGCCCGCCGCCTCAGCTGTGTCTTCAGCAAAGACTTCGATGAGTTAAAAAGTTGATCGCGCACTGTCGCTTGTTCGGCCAGATCTGACGATGCATCCTCAGCCATCCTCACTCTATTTACGCAACTAAATATATCACGGCTATTAATAGGTGACTGCGTTAGCAGCGGGATCCGGGAGACGGGAACGGGGCCAGGAGTAGAAGGCCAGCAGCATTGGGACCGGTAGCGCGGCCCCGCTCCCGGCGGCGGTGGTGAAACGGCGCCAAGACGTACCCCATAACGCACGGATCCAACTGTCACGAATCTGAAACCATACGGAAGAACAACTTTAGAAATAGATATCAAATACATCAACAATTACTTGCTGAGGTCATAAAACAACAATCAGTCAAATACAAAACTTTCGTAAAATAAAGTTATCCGGTTTTCGCATATTAAGTGGTAACATCTTCTTCTTGATGTTAGTTTTATACTTATTTTAACTACATAATTAGTGACGGAATCATCTATCTCTCCAGTTAAATACATTTTAATATCTGTGAGTAATAAAAACTTTAAATATAAATAAATACGCAATGTAATAATTAGTAACTAGCATTTTGCATATTAAAAACATTCATCTATTTACATAACATTAGTGATGCCAATAGTTGAGTAAACTGTCCTTCCGTCCTCTCAAAGTATATAAAGTTCTATCATTAAGAAAATAATGTTTAAATAATAATCATTTACTTACATTTGTTAAATCTAATTATTATATTAAGGCATAAAAATTATAATCAACTAGAGTTACTAGTTTTTTTTTTAATTAGAAGTAATTTACACTACTTTTGCCAACTGTGATTACAACTTTGTCAATTCTAAATTTTAACTTTAAACATCTATAAAAAAAAAGCTACTTCGAATATTTCTCTAAAATTGCGACTTTATTTCAAATCAGTAATTGTGGTAATATTTTGATATCATTATAACATCGAAAATATTAATAGAAATGTCTATACCATGATTACAGATTTTGAATATAAAAGCTTCACTTCTAAGAAAACTGTGCAAACTTCTGACAATAATAATATGTAATAAATTATGTAATTGTATAATTGTTACAATAAATATTGTTATTTGTATATTTTTCTATTAATCAAACAAAAACAATAGCTATGACGTTTTTATGATTTTTATGTTTCAATATAAACATATAAACTGGAAATATAATTCCAAGAATTAGAGTTTTCAGAAAAATTTTGAAATGATCTTATAATTTTTTTATCTTTATTTATTTATCCCGACAATCAAAATCCCGACTATATCGAAATCCCGACAGTGTCTTTTATTATTATAAATTTCTACAATACCATTTTTATGGTAGTCGGGATTTTGATTGTCGGAATTTTGACATAGTCGGGATTTCAAGCGTTGGGATTTTAATACAGTCGGGATTTCGAACGTAGGGATTTCAATAGACGTCTTTCGGTTGTCGGGCTTGCTATATAGACACCATACAAAGATATGCACGATTATTGGTTATATCGTTGAGAAGTCTTAGTAGAGTTTTTATAAACACTTTATCATACAATATAAAATTATTAACAACTTATATGTCTAGCTTCCAGTTGCTATGAAGTATGGGTTCTAATATGAATATTAGGACTATTTTAAGAGTTGTGTTCCACTTACTCCTCTATAAGAATAAGAATTAGGACTTTTATGAGTATAACTAGGATTCATCTTATTTATTATTTTATCAAATAGTACAATATTTGTAAACGGATATAACAGTAGACATTACACATTGATTAGTAGTGGAATCTTTCGAAAGTAGAAAAGTACTAAATAGTTATGATAAAATACATATATAACAAATATAAATAATACAACATTAATATATTTTTCTCATAAAGTTTTTATTTCAACTATAACCAATTATCTTGCTATGCTACATAATTGCAGAATTTTCTTATGAAAGTTCACATTCCATCACTTTGTGTAATTTTCCAATTTGATCGTGTGCCAAGTTAAACCGTGTGCCGGAAGTTAATAAAAGAAATCAAACAAAGCAATTCATTCAAGATATGAAGACATAAAAACGCATTCAAACTAAACGATCAATTGAAAATATTGACCTTTCCAACAAGATGATGAAACATGCCATATATACATGTGGTAAAACTATAATATTATTGCAGTCAAAATTATTTTTTCAAGGGCAGAAAGACTTATGGCAGTTATCATTGTTCAGTCAAATATTTAAAATTATTATGTGACATTATTATTTAATATACAAACATTTCATTGAGATACATTTTTTCTCTTTGAAGCTAATGTATTTCAATTAAATATTGTCAATAAAAATAACATGAAAATATAATTAATCCATAAATTCAGGTAATAATTAACATAGCGTAATTTATATAAAGTTAACCAAATATCTAAATATAATATAAAATTCTTTGATTACAATAATTCAGCAATTCCCGAAATCACTTTATTTCAATTGGTTGATAAGAGTTAACCTTTTGATTTGGATACAATTAATTATGAAATATTTGTTTCTATATACATACTGATATTATTAACGTTGTAAATAAACGGGTCGAAAGTTTGTATGTGATACAAAATTTCTTAATTAATGAACGCATATCTCTAATTAAACTAAATATGATGACGCTACTCGTTAATAAGTAAGTAATTAATTATACACGCTACATATTAAGAAAACAGCAATTATTAGTAATTGACGTAATTTTTACATGAGATTTTTTAAAAAACACATAAAAACATAGAAGTAATTGAATAATATATTCATACTAATACAAAGCGAACTATACGAAAATATAACTGTTAACTAGGGTTTGTATGTTATTGATAACAGTTTTTTTTTTAAGAAATTTGTATTATTCGAAAACCAGGTTTTTCCAACTGAAAACCCCATTTTTGAGCCTAAATTTAAAATATAAAAATGAATGCGATGATGAAAATAGTGGTAAAAAAGAAAATCAACCCATAGCTTATGTTTTTATGATCTCTTTCTGTCTTCTTTCTATTCGATCTGCGTCGAAGATATTTTATATATTTGCAACAAAACATTATGTAGAATAAGGTGACCATACTTATTTCATATTAAAATAAAACTTGCTCATATAGGTATTTTTTTACAAGCATTATTTTGTACAAAACTACTCAAGAAATTGATTCTGATCATATTTCAGCGAGAGTTGATTTGTTTTAAAAAATAAACTAACAACTTTGCAGGAATCCAATCCTGAAATAAAGGATAAATTTACTTAAAACATTATGTAGAATGCCAAAATTGTACAAAATTGTACGCCGGTGAGCGCAGTCTGTGCATGGATGCGGCATATCCGCAGCATCCATGGCGCCACATACGCCGTATGGACGGACCACGCCTGGTACACTTACTTTAAATGAAGCTATGGACAAAGCTACAAACCACTTTTTATCTATATATCCATTATATTATCCATTTTTCTTCTGAGAGCCTTTTTTTGCAAATTTTATATTGAATAATAATATTTATTGCATTAATCATAGAAAAAAAATAAATATTTATAAATTAAATCATAACAAAAAAATATACTTAAAAATATAAATAAATTGAATTTTTAAAAAAGTATGAGCTATTGTATATTATAATACAATTATAATTCTAAATACAATTTTAATGCCTAATATTACACTTTAACTGTTTACGAATAAAACATCATTTTTTTTAATTCATCTACAAAATGTAATACAACGCACGTCAATTTAATTTTTAATATCACGATTTAATTACTTCTAATATGTTAAATAGGATTTCATATTGATTCTTAATTATAATCTTAATCAGTATTTTCTGATTAAATCAACTATGCTAATAATGACCTTGATACTAAGAAACATATTCACTACAAAATCTGATCTAACAGATCTAACAGAAATTACAAAATTTAGGGTAAAATAAATATTATCTAAATATTAATAATATATTCCTACAATTCAGTCATCACTCTCTTAACGTAAATCATTTTAACTACATTCGATAATTCTTTATTTATTTATATAAGAAATGTTCACTTATTAACTATTTGAGTTTTTTTTTTTGATAAATTAAATTGAGGTAGATTTATTTTGCATATTCGATTTTATCACTAATCCTAATCAGAGTCGAACCGAAATTAATTTCATTCCGGTTTACGGTTACCTAGCAAGTAAATATTTATCGTTCCAGCTTTGGTTTCAGTTCGTCTAAAAATTTCGGTTCAAATATACCGGTATAAATTTTAGCACCAGCACACTACCATCAAAGTTTTTTTATCACAAAATAAAAAAAAAGATACAAAATTTCTACATGCAGCATTAATGAATAAAGAAATTGAACCGAAATTATACGTTATTAAAATTTCGTTCCGGTTTCGGTTTTCAGTTCGGTTCCGATTCGTCGCTCTAATCTAATACACGTAATTACAACAAAATATAATAAGTATTAATTGTGGTATTTTGATAAAAACAGCTCAAATAAAGTCAAAATTGAAACTGGAGTGTATAAAAAAAACATTATAACATTAATTCTATTTGATAACAAAAACATTAACTAATGAGAAACTAAATACTTACAAAAATAAAACGAGAAAAAGAGAAAGAATAAACGATAATTTATAGAAAAAAAATTAATTTTGTGTACTAATTTTTTACATAGTAAGTACTACAGTGATCGAAGCCGCACTATACGAGGTATAATAATTATTGACTAAGAAAGAAATAATTAGGTTAAAAATTAAGATCTAATTATATGAATCCTAGCAACTATTGTACATGTCATACTTGAAAAGTTGTACACAGCATTTTTATTAAAAAAAAATATCAAAAATTTAACGCTTTCTCAATTACAGTTCAATACACCCGTTGGTTACTTTAAAATGATAGATACTACTTTAGAATAGGCAATAATATGATTATTTATGAATTCATAAGTTTATAAACAACAAGAAATACTGGTTATAAATCCAATGTGAACTCAAATTTCTGTAAGCGACCACCCAGGTCAGCCCAAAACATTAATTACAGCTTTCTCACCATTTAATTTATTCCGTATTATTAAAGTAGATGCATATCGTATACAAATTAAAAGATAATATAGATATTATAATAAATAATTTATAGTTACGTTTTTTTTATATTACATTTATATTAGCTTCTGTATAGATTTTTATTATAGAATTTATTTAACGCACATAATGTATTCATTAATCTTGAATAAGATTATAAGTCAAATAGACGATATCAATTCTCCGCACATATTTGACATTGTATATTTATCCGAATATTTCTACTTTAGTTCAGTCATAATAATCATGTAAGTAGCATCCATTTTTAGCACGATTCTTAATTCCTAATCTTTCATTCTGAAATATAATGCATTTTGATTCCTGGATGTAATCAAATAAACAAAACTATGATGCAAGACAATAACCGTAATAGATATTAATAATTGGATTTTGTTTTATATATGTATAAAATCAATTGTACTTT